ATTGGAGAGCAAAACTTGCAGAACATCTAATCTTTCCTTTTTGGTAGAGATACCCGTACCGATGGCCACTGAATCAACTAAATTAGTCAACAAACAGAGGTGAATATTTATTATGTGCATGACCCTATGCTAGGCACAAAAGATATAAAACTGAGTAAAACTCAATCCCTATCTTGGAGATATTTACAATTTATTGTGAAAGTATTGTTGTGAAAGAGACATATTATGTCTCTCTAAGACATAAATGTACCAAGTACTGATGGGCTTCAAAGCAGAAATAATTGCCCTGACCAATGTGGCTCAGTTGGTTGGGCATTGATCCATAAAGCAAAAGGTCGCCGGTTTGATTTAAAGCAGTGCACACCTGGGTTGCAGGTTCAGCCTCCAGTCAGGGTGCGTATAAGAGGTGGCTGACTGATGTTTCTCACATTGATGTTCCTCTCCCTCTCTTGCCCTGTGTCTAAAAATAAATAAAATCTTTAAAGAAACTTAAAAAAAAGAAATAATTAATTAAAACATTCTTCTACCAACATATTTAGACACTTGAGGTCATGGAAAATATATCAGGTCATTCTTAAAATAGATTTTTAAAATAATCAACTATTTTCTTATTTGTTTTCTCTTTCGTCCTAAAACCTTTCATTTCTGTGATACACTAATCACCATTTTTAAAATCTACAGCAAAACTGTGCTTCTGGAAAGAATGAATACAAAGCTTTGAAACAGAAGAAAAGATCTCACAAAATTTATGCACATTTCTACAGCTCTGCAAAATTGCTTTCAACCCTCTTGCAGGCTATTATAAAACAAGTTTGCAAATTAGAAAAGGACACTGACACCAATAAAAGTGGCAGCTGACAGAAGAGAAAGGAAGTGGCAAAAATGGTGAAAACAAAGAGAAGAACTAAAAGGACAGTTACTGAGAATCAGTATAATAACCAAAAAGTTCCTGCAGTTAAAGAGTAGCATGGGGGTTGCTAGAAGCAGCAGCTGCATTGACATAAGAAGTATCAGCTGATAGTGAGGGTGGTGATAGGTAACAAGTGACAAAAATTTGAAGGGTGCCATGGTCCTGGGCCCTCAGTAGGAGTGAGCAGTTCTGCCCATCTTAATAGGTAATCACATAATGATGTGATTACCCACTTGGGTAATAATGGTGGCTCTGAGTCATCAAGGAAAACTTTAAATCCTGTCCAGTATTCTCTATATTAAACAGCAGGAAATGTTTTGGGGCCAGGAGACTGAGTAATTCACTTTAGAGTTTTATAGGCAAGGTTTGATTGTGTACACATTTACATATTCCCTAGCAACTGAAACCTGATTAATCAAGAGTTTACAATGTTTTTTTGATCAATAAAATTTAAACAAATTTTCTCTACTAAATATCGCATCACTATGTCCATGTCATTATAAATGGTTAGAAAAATAGATTATGTTTTCCATATATCCCTGAAATAATTTGAAAATACTGAACGTCCTATAGAGGAAAACACATTCTGTGTAAACTTTGTCCAGATGGAGAGATGACGGGGAAAAATTGACAGCAGGAGAAACAGTGTGAAGAATGTGTGGTGACCTGGCCCATCTGCTTATGCTGATAGAAACTGATGCACAGAGACCTTGTGACAACACACATGAGGCCAGGGGGGTTGGAAAAGATGACCCCTGCCTCTATATGTCTCTATGCAACAGACACAAAGACTACAGTGTTTTGTCCCAATATGCAAATCTTGTCCCAAGGAAGGGCCACACTTCTGTGGACAGCTCCTGTCTTTTGTATGGAGGCACTGGAATAGGAAATAAACATGACGTAGGAGAAAGAAAATACCTGATCATGCTCTGGGTTTCACTTCCTGGAGCTGCTTATGTATCTCAAGGGGCGCATCTGAAGAAACACCCTGCAGAAAGCAGAAGGTGGTCTTTGTCTTGGGAGAGGAGGGCAGGAGAAAACACACCCTAGGAGGATGAATAAGCCCTACCTAATTAGCTATAGTTCTTTGCTATAGGGGAAGAGTTCTAGGTCTGTTTCTCTTAATAACCAAGGAAGCTTTGCAGAGTCTTCCTTGCACATTACAGCCTTTCTAAAGCAGTCATCCACTCAGTCCACACTGTTAACATTCATGACAGATTACTTCCTATTCACCCCAGGCAGGCTTAGAGAATTATTGAGAAGATAATCACTGTAAAGTTAATTCACTTCACCCGAGTAAACAAGACTTTAATTTCTGGTTTACCAGAGGAGCCAACTTCATAATCACTCTTTCTTTGTTCTTTGTGGAATAATGTCTTTCTTGGTTTTTCTAGTTCTTGTTCCGTACCTATCAATAACATTTAAGTTAGATTATGTGGAGGCTGATTACAATATCCACTTGGGAGACTCTCCAGGACTTTTTCTGGTCTATTAATCATTTCAAATTTTATTAACTCCTGCACCAGAGCTTGAGTATGAAAGGAAAGGTGTTATCAAAGACAGAAATGACTAGTGCACCAGAAACTTTTTAGAAACAAAATTACAAGCATGGGATTACCTAAATTGTCATCCATTTTGTGGTTCTATTTTGGAAATTTACTAGTATATTGGGCATCACTAACTATGTGTAAAACATAGTTATGTAGCAACATAACTGAGACATACCATTATTTTTGACCAGTAAGCTTACAGCATTTGCCTGCAATTTCTGTCTTAGTTGCCTGAGTGGGATTGCAAGTCATTTTAGTATGGTTTGGGGAGTTGGGACATCATCTTTATCTACTGGCTTCTGTGGTATTTACTGCATCTAAAATAAAATATTCTGCACTTAAATGTTGCCTGGAAAAAAATACAGTATCTTGCTTTCTTTTATTCATTCATTTGAAATAATTATTGCTATCACAGTCTCATGTGCATTTTTCTCAAACCATAATGATTTGAGACTTATGGAGTATGGCAAAAGAGTTGGGACTGTTTTTTCAAGCAGGCAATTTTATGAAGCAAATCATAGTAATTTGAACCACTTTTTGGTTTCTAAAGATTTCATCTGTCCCCAAGACGATTTAGGGTCCATACAGTGTCTTACCTGGAGGCTAAGATCCTACATTCAAAATCCTGTTCCATTTCCCACACAGAGAATGTAGGTGTGTGGATATAAAATGAGACACATTTGCTCATAGAGTTTCCTATACCTTTGGCTTAGAACGTTTTGAGGTCTTTGTAATTAGTTTAAGAGAAACATGGGGTGAAAGTTACAGTCTTTTCAAATAAAATACATGTTTCCCTTGGAAATTTATACCAAAATGTGTATTTATTTTTAAAAACCAAATGATGTGAATATAAGTAACGCAATACCAGGTCAGCCCAATGCTCTAACCAGCCTGTGGTTTCAGAGTCTCATAGTATTCCATTCATATTGGCCTCAGAAGTTTTGGGATTTGTTTCAAACTCCCTGGTTTCCATTAATACCCAAATCTGGATTTATCATTCATATATTCATCTAAATCTTTCCTGAACTTACTTATATCTAATACAGAAACAATGAGTTCCTAAATGGCAAAGGATCTATACTCCATTCATCATAATGAGACTATGGCAAAGATTCTACTACAGGAGAGTGAAGGACTATGATGAGTAATTCAAGGTACCACAGTTGTCCTCTTGGTTATAATTATTCACATCCCTCCCAAATGCAAAACTGACTCACATCCTATGACCCCCCTCACCTCCAAGCCTCCTCAAATCATTGTATCTGCCAAAAGTCCAGATCTTATGCTTTCTATCAGATCCAAATACTGCTACAGTACTTGTGATCCAGAGACCTAGAAACTGAATAAAAACTATCTACCTTCTGCATACACGTGGTAGGCACTTTAAAAATGACCCAGTGGTCTCCACCCATTGGTATTCATGGCCCTGAATTATCCTCTTTTCTGAATTTGCTACTAATCAACAGAATACAGCAATGTTGAGACAATGTCACTTTTGTGATTAGGTCACATATAACAGTCTTGCTAACAGTCTTTTTCTATCCCCCCCCAAAAAAAAACCACCAAAAAACAAAAACAACCCCCAAAACCTCCTCAAAAACAGGTTAGTGGAAAGGAGTGGGAGGAATCTGTGGGAGGTGGTTGGTTGTCTATGACCTTGATGGTGGTGATGGTTTCATGGCTGCATACTTAATCTTCAAACTCCTTGAATTGTATACATGAAGTACTAGTAAGTACAGCTTTTACATGTCAGTCATACTTCCATAACACGGTTTAAATGAAGAGAGTCTGACGTGGGGAGGCAGCTCATAGGCAGCCTCTAGCTGCTGTGTCCCTGCTAAGGCAATACTCCCTGGGCATCTCCAGTGACTGAGCTTGGTGGGACAACCAGCAATGGACCACTCTGCCTAACAGGGGACTCTTCTACTGGGCTATTTTTCCTCTGGGGCTCTAGACCTACATACCTGGTGGACTATGATAAAATGTTTATGATTTGTAAGGTTCTATCTTTTGTCCAGATGTCTCTTATGAACTCTAGACCTACGCATCCAACTGCTTTCAGAAGATCTCCACATAGATGACTAAGAGGCATCTCAAATTTAATATGTCCAAAACTGCCTCAAACCTGCCCCTCCCTATCCCAGTTAAGGGCAATTCAATTCTTCAGTTGTACAGGCCAAAACCCTTGGTGTCATCCCTCGCTCATCTCTTGATCACTTATGCTATATCCAGTTAGGAAATACCTTTGCTTGTACCTTCAAAATATACCCAGATAGCAACCACTTTCCACCACTCCACTGCTACAACACTGCTCCAAGCTATCAGGGCCATCATCATCTCTCCCCCAGAACACTGCCAGTCTCCTGCAGGCCTTGTGGCTGCTGCTATAGTTTAAGTTCAGTCTACTCAGCTAGTCTACTCAAAAGGATCCCACTAATTGTCTGTCAGATTTCACCCCTTCCCTGCTCAGAATCTGCCACTGACCACCTCCCACCCTCCCATCTCAATCAAAGTAAATAAAAGCAAGGTCTACACTTGGACTCAAATCCTCCCTGCTTTTCCAGATTCATGCACTATTCCTCTTCTACTCAGTTACACAAGCCTCCTCCTTGTTCCCTAAACTGCAGAGGCACACTCCTGTCTCGGGACCTTTATACTAGCTGTTCCCTATGTTAGAACACTCTTTCCCAGAGGTTCATGTGGCTAGCCCTCTCGCTTCTTTCAGATATTATTAAAAGTGAGTTCCTGGTAACTATGTATGGTGACGAATGTTAACTAGGCTTACTGTGATCATTTACACTATGTATAATTACTGAGTCATTATGTTTTAGACTTAAAATTAGTTATGTTACATATCAAGTTATACCTCAATAACAATAAAAAGCTTTCAGAAGAGCTTTTTCTAAATACTATAGCAGTGGAAAAATAAACAAAATCCTTTACATAAAAAGTGAATTCTTCTATGAGGCCTTCCACTGGCACATCTAAATTTCAATCAGTCATTTTGATACCTTATAACCTCAGTCCCTCCCTTTTTATATATAATCAACATATAACATTATATTAGTTTCAGATAAACAACATGATTTTATATTTTTATGTATTGTAAAATTATCACAATAAGTCATTAATATCAGTTACTGTACACAGTCACAAATTTTTCCTACAATAACTTTAAAAATCTACTCTCTGAGCAACTTGCAAATACAGAATACAGTACTTTAACTTAGTCACCATGCTGTACATTACATCCCATGATTTATTTTATAGTTGGAAATTTATACTTTTTAACCCCCTTCAACCATTTCATCCTCCTTACTCCCCTTACCAATCTATTCTCTATATTCATTAGCTTTTTTGGGGGGGGTTAGATTCCACATATATGTGAGATCACATGGTACACATCTTTCTGTTTATTTCACCTAGAGGGATGCCTGCAAGCTGCAAGGCTCCTCCATGTTGTCATAAATGGCAAGATTCTCTTATTTTTTATGGCTGGGTAATGTTCCAATGTATATATTTAGTACATCTTTATCCATTATTCATCTATCCACACAGGTTATTTACTTATCTTGGCAACTGTAAAGCTACAATGAATATGGGAGCATATACACCTTTCTGAGTTAGTGTTCTCATTTTCTTCAGATAAGTACCCATAAGCAGAATGCTGATAGCTCTGTTTTTTAATTTTTCGAGGAATCTTCATACAGTTTTCCATAATGGCTGTACCAACTGACATTCCCACCAACAGTGCACTGGGTTTCCTTTTCTTCATATCCTCATCAACACTTGTTATTTCTCGTCTTTTGGATAACAGCGACTCTAACAAGTATGAGGTGATATCTCGTTGTGGTTCTGAGCTGCATTTCCAGGATTTTAGCACCTTTCCATGGATCTCCTAGACATCTGTATGTTCTCTTTTGAAAAATATCTGTTTAGATACTCAGCTCTCCTTTCATTTTTGTCCTTAGCACATGTCACTATCTGATATACTATATATTTCACTTACTTAGTCTATTTCCCCTAGTTGAAGGTAAGCTCCATGAAGCAAGCAATTTTGTCTAATTTGCTTACTGCTGTTTCTTCGGTGTTTAGAACAGTGCTGTGCACACAGAGAGTATTCAAAACATATTTATTCAATAATAGAATTTCTCAGTACAGTTTATACTATTGCAAAGAGAAAAACAGGTATAAAAAAGAGGGAGATATAGCTAAAGAAAATTCTAACAAATAACAGCTATAATTATAACTTTCATTATGTCTTCTTTCAATCATTTACTTACAATTTTCTAATTGCATTCTTGATGATTATCCTTGTTGTATAAAGAAGGAGTGAATGCATTAAGCTAAGCTGATTCATTTCTCATGATGTCTCTTTTGACTTAGAGTCTTTACTCTCCTGGAGCCCTAAGAGAACTGCATCAGCCTCTAATATCGTTGTGTCTGTTGTTGCTCCCAGGAACCTAGATGTCAGTTCAAGATCTAACAGCCGCAGCCGGACTCTGGTTCCTATCTGGTACTTCCTAAATAGTAAAAAATAAATAAATAAAATAGTGAACACATTATAACATGAACAACCAATTTAAAATACATTCAAATTCAAATTCTAATTTATGTTGGTTCAAGATAAAGAAACAATAGTATCTGAGAAATAGTTTTTGACATAAAAGTAATTTAGTTATATCAGAATTTTCATCTTAAAGTTGTCTTTAAATATTTTTATAAACAAAATAAACATGTATTCCAAACCAAAATTCAACCAAGGTGGTTCTGGATTTTAATGTCATCATTCATTTTGAAAGTTGGAGAGTAGCAAGAACAAAAAAGTTTTTAGATACATTTTCTTCTTCTAAAATTAAAACCTTTTAAAGAAAATTTTAAAAAGCAAAAAAGAAAAAAATCTAAGTGCAAGAGTACTTAGTAATGGGGACTGATTGCACTGTAATTAAAGACCAATGCCAGCCATAACATGCATGATGTCTCAATATGGTCAATAAAATATTCAAGTATTTTATAATACCAAATAAAAATGATACTCATTTACCTTTCTCCCTTAGCTGATTATTTTAAGAGTCTAAACATTAACATTATAAAATGATACAGGAGACTGAAAATATTGCTGCTGATTAAAAAACCACAAATCTTTTAAAATCAAAATATTACCTTCAAATTCTCTAAGTTAATTTTAAAATTATTCTATTTTAATTTTAAGCAGAAATAAAGAAACAAAGTTCTCCCAAAAGGTCACTGGGAAATGATTTTGGTAGACAATACAATGAACAGTCTCCATACAATGAATGGTTAGGTATTCTGAAGGAATTTACAAATGGTCTATTAAATAAACATGTAGGCTATTTGGCTTTTTGAGGTGTTTTTTTTTTCTGACTATAGAAGTAAAATTTGGAAAATAATATGGTCACATTTTCTAGTCCTCCTATAGCTATATTTACATATATGTATATTTGTGTATTTGACAGCAGAGATCACATTTTCTTTGTTCTAAAAAAATTAGAGATATCCTATCTCTAGAATATTGAGGCATAGTTTTATGTTCCTAGAAAGCTGAAATTACAGAACATATTCCATATGAATTAACCGCTGGAAAAATAAGTTGAGTTCACAGGCAAGGTAAAGGTGATCACTCTTTTGCATACTACTTGTGTTCTAGTGGAGTCTCATTTGTCTTCACAGCATGATACACAGTTATTCATTTAATCACCTATGATTCCTGTTGACCCCTGTCCCCTCCTCCCTTGCAACATCCAATTATTTATCAAGTTTCATTCATTTTTGGACACAGATATTTCTGCAACTTAGTCCTTCAAGTTTTATCATCCTTGGCTAAAGCATGAGGTATGACAAGATCTTCCTGGGGACCACCTTTCTGGTCACTTCTCACAATGGGGTCCACATCTAGAATGCTTATGTGGAAATTACTAAGTCCACATACTTGTCTCCCTCTGTCATTTGGCTTCTGTTGTCAGCACTGCTTGAACTTCCCCTCTATCTATATTCCTGTTGGTTCTTAAATATCTAGGTAGAATGCATCAAATTCACCACCTGAGAGCCACAACATTCTCCTTGTCAGAATGAAGAGTCCAGCCCTGAAATTCCCAAGGAAGATAGTTTTGCAGTCTTGGACTTGGATGCAAATCCAGGCCCTACTACTTTTGGCCTGGGAACCTTGGGTCACTTGCTTTCTCTAAACCACAATTTTCTCATCTATATTACAGAAATTCCAGCTACTTGGCAGGCTTGCTGAGAAGGTTAAATGAGATAATAGACAGCAAATGCACAGCACAGCCAGTGCAAACGTCTTTACTTCCTTGTAGTGGTGACCTGTGTGAACTTCTGGTCTCTCATTAGACTGCACAATCCCCAAGATATGGCACTGTATTGATTGGTGTCCATCCTGTGCCATAGCAGCAGGTAGGTACTCTGATATCTGCCAATAAATTAAGAAAATGCTTGCTGATAAGAGCCACCAGTTGTTGATGAACTAGAATCTCTATTTTCCTGGCTTTAGTAGCTGTTTGGCTTGGTGCATTTACTTAACCTCTCTGAAATTTGCCTGGCACATACAGTACTTAGTAAATGTTAGTTCTCTTTCTATTATTTCCTATTGGCCTATTTCTTTTTAGTTATTTTTAGGAGTATTATTTATAGGTGGACTGTAAAATAACCACTATGAGGGGAACAGTTAATGTTTTACAAAAAAAGTTGACCATGTCACTAACACTTAGGACAAAAGTTCTGAGCAGTCACACTGAAGGAGCCCTCAGTGTGGATGGTTCTGTGTCATATAAATGTTAGCAACCTCAAGTGTAGGCCCAGTGTGCTTGGTAATGACAAGAGGCAAAACTGTCCCCATTTCTAGATGTAGCAGTTGTTAATAATAGGTAAGATTTGCTTTCATCTCTAAATATTATGGAAATTATGCAGCTTTCTCAGTAAGCTGGTAAAGATGAAAAGCAAACTGCAGAAGTTTATGTGTACTGAATGAAGAATCACCCAAATGTAAATGAAACAAAACAAAAAAAGTCTAAAGGATTCTTTGACTTCTGCTATAGGAAGTACAGTAGCCCCCTTTATCTGCAGGGGATGCATTCCAAGACCTCTTAAACCATGGATAGTACTGAACCTGATACATACTATGTTTTTTCCTACACATACATACATATTATAAAGATTAATTTATAAATTAGGCAAAGAGATTAATAACAACTAAAACATTATAAAATAAAACAATTATAACAATATACTCTAATAAAGGTTTTGTGACTAGCTTTGTGGCCATTCTGAAGTAAGATAAGGGTTACCTGGACACAAGGATGGGGATACCTGGACAGTCAATCTGATCACTGTCTGTTAGCTAGCAGGCAGCGTGCACAGTGTGGACATACTGGACAAAAGGATGACTGATGTGCCAGGTGGGATGGAGTGGGACAGCAGGAGATTGCATCACATTATTCAGAATGGTTTGTGATTTCAAACGTATTAATTGTTTGCTTCTGGAATTTTCCATTTTAATATTTTTGGATCAAGATTGAGTGCAGGTAACTAGAACAGTGAAAAGCAAAACTGTGAGTGGGGGGGGGCTACTAGAGACATTTCCACTGTTATGGCACTTAACTTTTACTTTGTACTATAGTTATTTCTATTAAGTGTTACCTTCTCTATCGGCGTGCAGGCTGGTTAAGGGCAGGGATTTAACCATATCTGTGTCTCTTATTACAGTATGGTGATGAATATATTTGACTTCATGTAGCCTTTTGACTAGTGGTTCCACCCTTTCCATTACATTAGAAGCACCTGGGTGTTTGATTAAAATGCAAATGAAGAGAGGCAACCCCAGAGAGTGATGTGGCAAGTTGGGGTGGGACACAGGAGTCTGTCTTTTTAGCAAGCTCTCTGCAGCGATTCTCATGCAATCTGTTGTGATCACCACTTGAAAAAACCTTGCCTAGAATGATCTTTTTTGTGTACATCATGTGCAGGAAGTGAGGACAGCTTACATAAAAGGCCAGCAAGATGAGGACCTCTGACAGAACTTAGTGGCCCATTAATCACCTTCAGAGTAACAGATGTTTTTCCTAAGTGACAAGAGAGTCTTTCAGAATGAGGAATTTAGACAGACAGACACACACACACACACACACACACACACACACACACACACACACAAAGCCAAGGAATGACCATGTATAATGAAGAAATGCACCTAAAAAGAGTCCTCTCCACAAAGGCCACTGGCAGCCTGGATCAGGCTGCCTTTCCACACACAGACTATCTGTTCTGGGAAACCCAGAATACGGGAAGGTCAACATAATTCTCCCACAAAGGAACAGTAGCCACACAACTAATGTAGAGTTACCTTTGATTTAACTTTGAAACACTTTATTAAAGGGAAAGATGGAAGAAATGTGTTTCTGAGAACTCCAGTTCTGCCAATGTAATCTGTGGTGAGCTTTCGGTATTGCAGTCCTTGATAATCAATGACACTACTCAGTCTTCCCATTTGGACTTCCGCCATCCCACATAACAAGATTTAGAATGAATATGTCAGTAAGCTCTTTTCCCAGATTGTTTGTGCACTCTTTAAATGGTCACTTTATTTAAAGATTTTGGCCTAAGTATAAAAAGCCAGAAGAGCCAATGTAGTGATTAAAAGCAAGGCTTCTAGAGCCAAGGAACTAGGTATGTTCCAACTCTGTCACCTACCAGTGTGCCACTTGGAGCGAGCTGCTTCATCTGTTTCTGTTTCCTCATTTGTAACATGGGGAAGTATTATACCTACCTCCCAGGTTCAGTGAGCATGCCAAAACCACATAAGTGCTCAATAAATGTTAGCTATCATCAAATCATCATCACCACGCCACCACCACCACCGTCACCACCATTAAGATAAACCAGTGACAGCTGACACTCTAGTGCTGCAGTGATGGAAGCATCAGAGCACTCCCAGCTACAATCTGAAGTTATAATTAAATCAATAAAGAACTCCTGTAGGAGAGAAATTTAGAGGTGGGTTTTCTTCCAGTATCTGCTTTGATTAAAAGCCTACTAATTTTAATTGTATAAGCATTCCTCTGTTAAAATATAACTTAAATGTCCCACAAAACTGAAAACATTTCTTTTGAAATGAATGTTGAATTTCCTTTGAGGATGTGGAGCATAATAGCACTGAACAAAAGCAAGTAAAATTCAAAGAATTGCGCATTTAATGGTCCATATTTCCCAGCATTAACTGAAAGAAAGCAGCATAAATTGTCAGTTACGTGAGGGTCACAGTGATTCACCTACTATTCTTTTGACAGTGGCTCAAGAAAGACTGCAGGCTGAGCTGTTGAACCTTACCCATTTCCTATCACTCTCACTTCTTTATTTCTTGACAGTTAAGCCTTTTATGAATCTATTTGTAACACATACCATTTCTTAAAAGGGAAGATAATTTCTATAGGCTTATTATTTGTTCTTCCAAGAAGCATTTTCATAGCTTCTTTTTACATTGACCATTTCAGGA